TATTTGACCTTTAAAATGCCAAATTTGACTTTCAACTTTAGATAACTTCAATAATTTAAAATCACAACCACAGCAAAAACGTATTTATTCTATCATCAGAAGTCCAAATTAAAACAATAATCTATCAAATTATTTATTAAAACAAATTATGCGGAAAAATAACATTTGAAAGTTATCAAAAGTACTGGTTTATCTCTTTTGAAATGATTACTTCTTGTGACTAATTAGAAAGTAACTTTACAAATTTGAAACTGTAGTTTTATTTTCCTGTAGCTTTTCTAAAAAAGTAACTACAAAATTTTTCCAAAATTGCACATTAATACATTATTTTTAAAAGCACCGTTTTGTTAGATGATAATAACTGATTGACTATCTTTACATTTTTGCACAATACTTTTTTATTTTAAAATGCAATTGTCAACGCAATGCTATTCATTACACAACTTTTTTTTTAAATTGTTGAAAATTTTTAAAGAAAAGTTTAAATGACCCTTGATCTTAATAAAGTGATCACAAGTGATCACAAGCAAAATTTAATACTTTGAATAACCTTGAAAGTTATTTTTTGATCGGAAACATCCATTTTACACATCTAATTGCAATTTAAACTGAGACATTTATTGATATAATGGATTAGCAATTTTTTTTAAATTCAAAATCTTTGTAAAAATTAGAAAATAAATTTTTTGCAGTAAAATTATTCAGTGTAATTTGATATTAATTTTTCAAAATTGTAAAATAATAAGCAGTTCAATTAGTGTTAATTATATTTACAAAATATATACATTACTACTGTTAATTTGTGAAATCTGATTTTTCTTTATTTAATATATTATATTTTAGTGATTTGCTATTACACTTTTTTGTTTACTTCACTGTTTAATAATTTAGCAACATTACCAAATGCATGAACGAATACTATTGTTGAAAAATATATTAAATGAAAAATTTAATGAAGGCAATAAATTTATGCGAGTTATATTCAATTAATTTATACACAAAATGGCAACATCATTAAAATGTTTGGCAATATAAAACTTCTTTGCCAGTAATTAATTAAAACACAAAATAATATTTTATAAAGGAAAAAATATTAAATAAATATATAACAAAGAAAAAAGATAATTACAGTTAATGAATGCAATGACAGCACCGTTTCTTTCACCGGAAGAACTTCGGTACACATTTGGTGTACATACATTCTCTGAAGGTAAGTCACTTCAATGCATACAAAAAATATGAAATAAGATTAATTTCAATTTATAAATCAGTCCAATTCATGCTTATACTAGTAGCTACTGTTTGTTATCAAGTGAATTAAAATTTTACAGTAATAATAATACTAATTAAGCCATTTTATATATATGCAAATTTCTTCGTTACTAAAAAATACTACTAAGAATTGCAATAATTATATATTATTATTATAATAAAAGTTACTAAACTTCAGTTTCAGTGTATAATGCATGTTTAAGTATCACTTTCCTCAAAAATGATTAAATAAATTTTTAATATTATTCTAAAAATTTATATAATATTTAATAAAAAATAAATAAATAATATTTATAACATTTAACAAAAATTTTAATATTTTATAATCAAATATTGAGAGATTATAAAAAAGATATTAATTTTCAAATTTTTAAAAATATTTTCAGCATTCAGACAATAAATTGTTCAAAAAATTATATCATTATTTTAAGAAAAAATTGCCCTTAAAATGCTACATGATAACAAGTTTCAGTCATTCATAAAAACGAGTTCACATCAAATAGCTTTTCAAATTTTATTGCTGTAATAAATCAAAATTTATATTATTATTAAACAATTGCAAGTTTAGAAAATAAAACTATAAGAACAAAAATTTTATTACGCATCGCATAATGTTAATTTATGAATTGTATGCAACAACAAAATTTTACACGTTTTTATTAAAGAATTGTTACAAACAAAACAAAATATATCAGTTAATAAATTATATAATTAGCATTCACTTTTATGACAGCTAAGTAAGCCAATTTTTATAATGGCAAGTAAGACACAAGTATATAAATAATATTTATTAAGAGAATAAAGTTTGTAGTACTTTTATTTGTAATTCATTAGCGTTAATCAGTCGTCTTGTGATTCTTGAGGATAATTTACAAAATGAAACTCGATATTAGGTATACTAATAAATATATCATTTATAAAAGTAACTCGTGACTTTTGTATTGCTAATTTTCAATTTTTTTAATGCTAATTTTTGATTTTATTTAATTATAGTTCCACAACATGAAGAATTATATCCACAAGCAGAATATTCCAAAAATGGTCAATTGAAAATGCTGATAGTGACCATCCACAATGAAATAGTGAACTTGACCTTAGAACCGAGTATGCAGTCGCTAGTGTCTCCACATTTTACTACTATTTTTCGAAATGTTAAAGGTGGAGGAAGTTTGAATATCGGACGACCACCAAATAATTGCCATTATCAGCACAAATCAAGTGAAATATTCGCAGCTGTCAGCAATTGTGATGGCAGTCTCGTAAGTATCTATCAAACATTTTACAAAATTATTAACGAGTAAAAACAATAACATTTAAAGTCAAATATTGACTTTCAATAGTTGCATTTTGCTTCCAAATTTAAAAATTTTAATTTTTATGAGAAATTTCAAAAATTTTTTAAAGTTTAGTGCAAAACTTCTGCTTATTAAAGCTAACAGAGACTGAATTTTGATTAAATTTTTTGAAATTTACATATGCATTCAAAAATTTTTGAGTTAGTACATTCAAAATCATGCAGTCTTTTCTAAATGTTTTTATCTATTATTATTATTATTCTTACTATTATTATTATTACTATTATTATTATTATTATTAATCTTGGTACAAAAAGTGAATTAAATTGCATAGTTATGAATATAAAGGGGGACAAAAAGTAATTTCAATCATCACAACAAAATACATTGTTAAAGTATTTGGTAGACACTTATGTTTTTTTTTAAATTTTAGCTAATATTTAGTTTAGTGAAGTAATTTTTGCCAAGGTAAAGTAATTTCTCATTGCAAACAAATATTCCAATTCTTTGTAGATAATAAAAATAAGCGCAAATGCAAAAACACAAATAAGATTAGTTGACAAAAAAACTGTAAGAAATGTAATTTTAAAAAAAGAAGCAATTTCACTGATTTGAAAATTAGATATGTTAAAAAAGAATGAATGTTGACTTTTTCAAAGCAAAAAAATGGATAAAATTAAGTATTTGATTGTTGACACTTTCTTTTCACTTTTGATTTAAATTAGTCTTGAAAAAAATTAAAGTTTCAAAAATTATTGCCGTTATCAAAGTTTTTATGTTAATTTAAATTTATCTGTTTTCAGAAAGGAGTAATCTTAACACCTGATGAAATTTATATATTACATCCGTTACCTGATCGTCATATCCATCGATTCAATCAGGACAACAGAAGTGGTATAAACTTTTGGCTAAAAATTATAATCAAAATTTAAAATGCTTTTTGATGATATTAATTATGCATAAAAAGGAAAAAAATGATGAATGTTTTGCTTAAATGAATTATCAATTATAAAAAGCTTTCTTGTTTCTTTAAAAATAATATAATTTAGTAAGGTTTAGATTCAGATCTTGGACTACATGTTATTTACAAACGTGAAATAGCACAGAAAGAATTTTGTGGACTTCAGTCCATCATTTCATCTACCGAACTTACAGAAGATGAAAATGCAGTAAGTGAAGACGTTTATGCTACTGGACATCGTCTAACTGTTCAAGGCGAACTTATCGTTAGTTTTTAAATTAAATTATTAAAAATTCTTGCTAAGTGATCAAGTAATAAATACTTAATATATCAAATATAATAAATATAAAATTACAATTGTTTTAAATCCAAAAATTTAATGCAATTAAGATAAGTTCTAAATTCATGTAAATTTATTTGTTGCTATGAACTTACATCATCAAAACACTTTCGTACTTTTTTAGATTTTCAAGGCATTGCTAATCATCAAATAAATCTTATTTCTGTTTATTTTAAGTTGGAAAAAGTGAGGAAACAATGAATAAATTTTAAATGATAAATGGTTTAAATGTTTGCAAGAAAAATTTGTCACATTTTGCAATTAAAAATGACACGTTTCAGTAATAAAAAATGGAAAAATAAAAAAAACAAGCAAATGTCAAGGAGAATTCCATTTTTTTGTGAATTATTTACACTTGGATAAATTCAGTACAGTAATTTAGTAAAGCAATGTATTGAATTTGAAATGAATTGCTCAAGCCTCACTGAGCATCTCTTTAAATGCCATTATTAAAGTAATATTATTTTTCTAGTCAAAACTAACTAAATTAGATTAAATTTTGTATTAATGAATAAAAATTATTCGCTACAATATTAATAAGTTATTTTATAAATTATCGCTACGTTATTAACACGTTATTTTAAAAATTATCGCTACGCTATTAATACGTAATTTAAAAATTATCGCTACGTTATTATTACATTATTCAATTTTCGCTTATGTAAATGTTTAATATTATAGCTATTTTTTCCATTTTCTTCATTTTTCAGAATACCTTTAGAATTTGTTCTCAATTCATTTCTGATATATATATAATAGTCTATTCCATCATATTTTCTGAATCATATTTTCTGAATCCTTTCTAATTAAAATTTGCTAGATTATATTGAATGAAAACGTTTCAATTTGTTGACTGATAAACTTTAAAATTATATTTGTGGAAAAAATAATAATTTAAAAAATATGCTTATTTTTTCTAATATTTGTTCAATCATGAAATAATCTTTCAACAAATTGCAATTATCATAACACATTTGCAAAAATACTTTCTCTTGCTTTTATTATTGGCAAAAAGTTAATTTTGACATTCCTTAAAGTGTAAAAATAGCAATTTTTTCAAATGGCTTATTATTTCTGTTCTATGCAATCAAAAATATCAACAAAAAAAATTTATATTGCGATTTTGCCTTTTGCTTTTAAAAGTTAAAACCAGTCTAGTTGTGAAAAATTCTATAAAATAAATACTATAAAATACTTTTAAAATAGTTTGCAAATACTACATGCAAAAAAATTGCATTTACTCAAAAATCCAAGAATATCAGAAATCAGAATCATAATCAGAAATATTTGCAAAAAAAAAAA